GTATATATATATATATATATATATGACTTCCAAGTCTAAAGCTCTACAAATTGTATGAGTGATAGTTTTTTTTTGGTACAAGGAACAAAATCCACTATTTAAGTGGTTATATGGGTTCGATCCCAAAAAAAAAAAGGTTATATGGGAGTGCCTTTAGGTACGGGTTATGCACTAGTACTAAGATAAGTAAGGATATTTAAATAGAATTACTTGTGGGGACGCATTTTCCTATTCTCACCCCATCTCCATTATACTAATCAAATATAGTTTTATATAATATATATAATTTATTTATTTTTAAATATAATAAGACTAAAACACTTAAATATTATACTTAAAACACTCAGTTTCATTTCTTTATTTTTCATCTTACATTTTTTAAGTCTTATTTTTTATAATTTATGAAAAATGCTAATAAAAGCCCTAAGGCTTATTATTATTATTATTATTGTTATTATTATTATTATAGATAAGCCCTAACACTTATTGATAGTGTTGAAAAAGTGTGTAACATGTATATTAAGAGTGTATTGAAATGTGTAAAAATATTCTGCAATATATGGGAAAATGTATTGGGATTATAATTTTTTTGATCTTGTTATGGGTACTAACAACCCTTAGCATGACCTATAAATTATTATCTATAATATACTATATCGTCTCTCATTTTTATTAATACCGCCATCCTTAAGATTATAAATTACCTCGTCCGTATTTATCTCTCTCAATCTGATATGAGTGGATCCCTACATTGACCTGCCCCATTATCATTCTTAATTTTGAGCCTATCATTTTAAAACAAAAAGTTTATATCCAAAATTATGTAAAAATCATTTCAATTGATGATAGACCTTGACTCAAATCAAACAGTTTTGTTGGTGGAGTTCAATAGAAATTACAATATTGTTGGAGCATTCTCAACACCCAGAATTCTGTTTTTCAGACCTTTTAGTGTACTTGTATTCACACAAATGAATTTGTTGGGTTTATTTCATTTATTTTTTTTAACTCCTAATTTGTTTTAATTTTTACAGCTCTACAGTTTTAAGTGGAGCAAGTACTATGTATCTGAGATTGCCTTGTCGGTAATAAATTTAAATTCTTTTTGTATTAAATAAAATCATTATGTTGCTTTCTTTTTGTTGATATCTTTGTATATAGTAATTGTTCACTCTGAAGTTATCTTTGATTTGACTAATTTTTTTTCATGAAGTTTATGTTTGGGTCTTTTTGAAACTTCTTGTTCATTCCTAATGACAATTGGGGTACATAACAAACATTTGAAAGCAGCAGCTGCTAAGGTGGCAGTTTTAAAGAGATAGAAAAGGTACCCTATGGAAAAATATTTATGTTAATTATGTTATTCGTTGGTACCCTTTGGAAGCATTTATTTTTTTAACATATTTCCACCTTCCTTTTTGCTTTGAACATAGTGTTGGCATTCTACATTGCAAGAAAAAGGGTACTAGTGAATAAATGATATAAAGTCAGATAATGTACATTAGAAGTAATAGTTGTTTATTATTTGAGAACATTTATTTATTTATTTATTTATTTTTATATGGTTATTTTCTAGTACTTTACGTTTTTACTCTTTTTATTTTATATTTTGGGCAATCAATGAGATTAGTTTGACATTCCCTAAATATGTAGGGGTGCTGCTCTTCTCACTAATACTCCAGGTATCCCCTGCATCTTTGATCCTCATAGAAGAGCTGGCATATGTGGTGATTGACATGTTGACAAGATTTATTCTCCAAATTGATAAGATTTTCTCTGGTTTTTAATCTTATTTTTGTGTTGTGTTACATGTACTCTTCTTTGAATGATGCAATCTTATCTCTTAAATTTTTTGTCATCTTATCAGTCATGTGGGCTCTCTACAACAATCTTAAATTGTTTCTGGAGATTTGTTGGAGTTGTCTTTTTAGCTGATTATGTGTTGTACTCATATGATAATTGTTCTGTTCATGCGGCGTCAACAAGTTGGTTTTCTCTTCCTCTCTCATTCTCTTCTTATCTTCTCTCATTCTCTAAGGTATGATTTTTCTTCACTGTTTTAGAGAAGTTCTTATTTGTCATTAAATTTCTTTCTCCATATAAAAACTGATTTGGAATTTGTGATGAAAAAATATGTTGGCTAATGTTTGTAAAAAATCATGTGCTTTTAGATTGAATACCATGAAACCCCCAAAAATATGTTGGCTATTGTTTGTAAAAAAAATATGATTTTTTGCTAATTTTTCATTATGACATTGCTTTTATGGGGCCATTGAATTATCTTATTAATTTTGGAAATGTTTTGTTGATATTTTAAAATTTCTTGATCATTTCTTAATGCTTCAAGAAATAATTTTATCACTGAGTCGTTGGTTTTGGTAGTTATGTGAAGTTTCCTTTGTCATGCAGACAAGAAATGCAACAGGGTTAGTTGCTCCAGCTATTGTTGTGGGTTTAGGTGCCTTAACACATACATTGGGTACTCTCGTCCCTGTGATAGGAGCAAGTGGATTAGCTACAGCTGCACCTGCTATAGGAACTATTGTCGGTAGTTTTAGATAATCTCTTAATAGTTGTCGATATGTTTAGAAAGTTAGATATGCATAGTTTTGGATGGTTTAAACTTTTTGTACAGTTTAGAACTTAAGGATATAGTTTTTGAATGTTTAGAATGTATAGACAATTGTTGAATGTTTATAATTTATGGATATAGTTTCATTTTGATGTTTTAAACAATATTTTGGTGGTTGATTGATATTTTGTGATGCTTGTTTGTAATATTTGTTAGATTGTACAAAATTGGTCAAATAGAACTTGCTGAATTTATATATATATATAAAAAAAAAACTGCATATTCTACGGCAGGTATAATAAGTCGTTATATTACATATTTTATGGCGCGTAATCAGCGTCGTTATTTGTCTCACCAATTAACAGCGTGTAAAAGTAGTCGTAGAAAAAGTAACAACGACGTACAAAATCTACCGTTAAATAGTTTTTAACAGCGTACTATAGCATGTCGTAAAAAAGTAACAACGACGCACAAAATTTGCCGTTAAATAGTTTTTAACGGCGTACGAAGCATGTCGTTGAAAGTGAATGACTTTCCATGACTGGTCATAATATGACGTGCGCTGCACGTCGTAGAAGGGTTTTTACGGCGTGCATTGCGCATCGTGAAAACCTTTTTTTGTTGTAGTGAAAATGGGATCCAAAAAATTTATACATTAAGTTCAAAATTAAAATATTCTTAATAAGCCTCACTCAAATGGAGTCCAACTCCAAAATGTCCAAAATTATTATTTTTAATTCAACTAGCAACCAAAAAAAAATAAAAATTAAAAAGCGTAATGTTTAATTAGTAATTTTGCAGCTTATTATATTGTCCATTTGAAAATGATATAATAGATAAGCTTCATTATGCAAGTTTAATTAGTAACTTTTCAATTAAAAATATAAGAAGAGTAACATTTAAGTGAAATTTTGTTGCATTTAAATTATTGTTTTCATATAATTTTATATTTTTAAAAAATGTGTACTGAATTTTGGTAAACTATGAAGTAACAAAATCATTTATTTAATTATTTTTATCTTTTTGAGTTCTTAAAATGATTCCTTAATATCTTAATCCATATAAGCAAATTTTAGTAATTATGTTCAAACAATACTAATAAATATAAAAAATAATAATAAAAAAGTCTTTAGGAGAGTTTAAAAGAATTATTCATTCTCTCTTGCACTCATTTTTATACAGAATTTACAATTTTTATAAGATTCTTATTATCTGTTTTAAGAGAATTTAAATTTTTTATTTTTCATTATTTTTGTGAACATTTGTCTGACAATCAAAAAGTAAAAACCCTAGAATTCAATTGTGAATTAAAAAATAAAAAATAAAAAACTTTGGGTTAGGGCTAGGGTTCAATTTGAAACCCTAACCCTAGAATTGTCAATTCACAACATTTTCACATTCACAAACCTATTCTACCAATATTTTCATCAATTCACAAACTCTATTCTATCCACATTGTATTGCCATTCACATTTTCACAAACAATAAACACATATAAAATTCAAACTGAGAGAGAGATTGACAGACAGTCATACCAGTGAGAGAAAGAGAGCACACAGAGAGAGAGAGAGAGCAGAGAACTCATGGAGAGAGAGAGTGAGAGCAGAGAAATCATAAAGAGAGAGAGAGTGAGAGCAGAGGGAGAACAGAGGGAGACTGGTTCGGAAAAAAAATGAAGTATAAAAAGCGTGGTTGCAAATGAGAGAGTGGGCTATTTTATATAACTTTCAAAAGTATGGTTATGAACCACGTTTCCTTTTAAAACCAAATTTTCGTTAAAAACGTGATTTTTAATTACGCTTTCTAAAGCGCGATTCTAAAACACACTTTCAGTAAAGATGAAAACGCTAATAGAAATAACTTTTTCTTAATTATAAGACGCTTTTATGATTTTATTTATTTTATGCGCTTAAACCAAAAATATGCTGAAAGCATATTTTGGAAACCCGCTTCAATTTATTTTGAAAATTTTAGCTAAACTAAGGCCAAGTTTGGGAACACCCCAAAAAGTCAAAAAGCTAAAAAGTTACTCAAAAAGTTAAAAAGTTATCACTATTCACCAAAAGTCAACAATTACGACTGCACAACTCCCAATTCTAATTTTCTCCTACAAATCAATTTTTACAATTTTTTATTACACATTTTTCCATAAAAAGTCAAAAAGTTAACCCAAACATTCATATTTTCAATCTCAACTTTTTAGTCTAAAAAGACAAAAAGTGCACTTATTTAGTCTTTCCAAACTTGGCCTAAGCTTGAGAAATACGTTAGTAGGTTGACTTGTTTTGGGAAAAGGCTCTCTCGCTCTCTCTTCACGTGCTCATCATCGGCCTATCATGTCTTCTCTAAGTGCTCTAATCATCCCCACCCCACCCCAGCCCACCCCAGTGTCTTTCCCTCCATCGGTCCTACCAGTCCCTCGGTCCTACCACTCTCTCTCTCTCTCCACACCTGTATTGCTTCTCGCAGCCAGCTCAGTTATCACCCCCACCCCCACACAAACTCCCTCATTGACCCTCCAAACCAGTCTTCCATCTCCATCTCCAAACCCACACCGCATTCTAGGTTTTCACACTCAGAGATAGCTCTACAGACTCTCTGTTTCTGTGCCTTGTCTATGTAACAATCCAAGCATGGGCTGTTTTCAGTCCAAAACAGTCAACATTCACTCCCCAGACCAAGAACCCTCTCACCCTGACTCCAAACCAGATCTAGGTAAACACAACCCATTTCTTATATGTTTTCGCATTCCATTTGTTCCTCGTATTAAATTTTTGATTTTTTTAATCTGTGAATGTTTTGCATGTGTTATTGGTGAAGAAGCTAATGGAGGAGAGCAGTTGGATCAAGATCAAGTGCCTGCATTCAAAGAGTATGGTCTTGCGGAGCTTCGTGCCGCCACCAATGGGTTCAGTAGTGAGTTGATAGTGTCGGAGAGTGGAGAGAAAGCTCCTAATGTTGTTTACAGAGGCAAGCTGAAGAACAATCGCTTTGTTGCCATCAAACGCTTCTCCAAGCAGTCTTGGCCTGACCCTCAACCCTTTATGGTAATTTTTTTAGTCTTTTCTACTTTTTGGGTTTTGTTTGTGTTGACTCTTTCATGTTGCTTAGATTAGGGTTAATTGCATTTTTGGTTCCAAATATGAGGTTTGTCTCATTTTGGTCTTAATATTTGTATTTAAATTAATATTTCAATTTGTTCCCCAACCAAATTTCGTCAAATATAATAAAAGTATTTCAATTTGATCGCCAACCAAACTTGATCAATAGATGCTGTTAAAGTTTTCTAGAGACTAAAGTGACATATATGGTATATTCTAGGGACTAAAGAGTGTAATTCATTGAGTTTTCACATTAATGACACACATAACATATTTTAGGTGAGTTTTACATTTATTCCTGATTTTAACGACATGGAGTTAGATTAGGAAATCAAATTGAAACACTTTTTATATATTAGGGACCAAATTCACATAATTTAAACAGTAGGGACCAAATGACACAAATCTCATACTTTTGGGACTAAAAATGTAATCAACCCTTTTATATTAATAAGTTCTGACTTTTCTTTTTAGTTTATTTTATTTATTGTTTCAGTGTTTCAGCTTGTTTGTTTGTTCTGAGCCTCTGTAGATATGAATCCTTTCTGTTGTATTTTTCAATAGATTTTCTATTGATGCTGAATTAAAACTATTTTGGGTTGTCTGAATTGGTTTCGTTCTATAATTGTGTGATTATTGTTGGATTTGTTGAATTGGTGTGTTGTGTTGTTGTGTTGTTGTGTTGTTTTGTTTTTTGTTTTCCTTGTACATGGGAGGCAGTAGATTGGGAGGTGGAGTTTTGCTTGTGATAAGACTTACTTGAACCCTTGACCTCCTAGTCTCCCAGTTCGTTGGTGTGTGGTTAACTGTTCCAGATTATGACATTGTGATTTTTTTAAAATCTCTGAATTGACTTTGGTTGTCAGATTTTTATGTTATTTTAATTTTTTGTTATGATATTCTTGTAGTATTGCCATTTACGTTTTGATTAGTTACATTGTCCATCACTCTGTTGGTCTGTTGGTGTGTGTCAATGCTTGTTAATTTTCTGAAATTGTTGTTGTGTTTCTGTTTCTGACTTTTATGTATTCTTAGGTCTCGTTTGGGAACAAGCTATTTTTAGTAACCTTTTGGCTTTTTACGAAAAAAATGTGCAGATAAGTAGAGAGAGTAATGTGACAACTTATAGTGACTTTTTGACTTTTGGCTAAAACATATAGTTGCCAAACAAGGCCTTAGCTTGTTTTATAAATTACATTGTTAGTCAGTAGTTAGTATTTTGAATTGCTGGTGTTGTTCTCTTTCAATTTATAGTAAATGTAAGTAATGCAATCCAAATGCAAATCAAGGATTAAATTGAGAGAGAGAAAAGACAAATGCCCCAATTAGGGATAAAATCTCTTAGGGGTAGAGAGAGAAACCATGCTCTACTTGAATCACAAGCTATTTTTAGTAACCTTTTGGCTTTTTACGAAAAAAATGTGCAGATAAGTAGAGAGAGTGATGTGACATCTTATAGTGATTTTTTGACTTTTTGGTTAAAACATATAGTTGTCAAACGAGGCCTTAGCTTGTTTTATAAATTACATTGTTAGTCAGTAGTTTGTATTTTGAATTGCTGGTGTTCTTCTCTTTCAATTTATAGTAAATGTAAGTAATGCAATCCAAATGCAAATCAAGGATTAAATTGAGAGAGAGAAAAGACAAATGCCCCAATTAGGGATAAAATCTCTTAGGGGTAGAGAGAGAAACCACGCTCTACTTGAATCACAATGTATATTCTTTAATCAAAAACTAAGTACAATGGAATATTACATCACCTATTTATAGACTACAACTAATAGGTTATTTAACTAACACAACCTGTTTATTCTACTACATCATACTCCCCCTATTGAAGAAATTTGTACTCAAATTTAAGTAGCAACTAAGTGAGCTCAATGTAACACTATGCATTGAATCCCTAGGCGAAAAATAGGTGCTGCATCTCTATGCTCAACACAAGCATGGCTCTCGCAACTCATCCTTTCTTGAATACATGGAATTGTATCCTTAGCTAAACCATCATAGGTGCAAACTGACAACCCCCATGTTGCCCTCCATACCCTCTCGCTAAAGCTTGGACAAACCTCCATTTTCGTGAGCCCTTCATCTCTAATCAGCACATTGGTGCAGAGATGTACTCATTCAGTTGGAATGAGATCAATAGACTAGCAAAAGGATAGCTTCAGAAGAAAGGTTGAGGTATGTGACAAAAGATGAAAGGATCGATTATGCTTCCACTAGGAAAGATCCATGTGAGAGAAGCTAATTAGGGGTGAGAATTCTGCATTGCATTATTTCCTTCTCTTTAGACACAACCGTCAAATGAGCATCATTTACCAGCAGTGTACTCAACTGAAGCCAACATCTTGTAGAGGCATACAGAAGCAGGAAACACACAGCTTCAAAGAAGCTCTTTGAATACAGCTTCAAATAGTTTATTTGAAGCTTTCAAAGATATTATTGTATCTCTTTCAAGGCATAATTTGTTACTCATTTGTGACATTTCATCTCGTTGATTCTGATTTTGATTGTGATAAACATTAGCCCTTTCGAGAGAATGGATCCAACATTTCTCTCTAATAACAAAACTCTCCCAATCAGCACTCAAAAACCAACAGTAACAGTTCATCAATTTTTTTTTTCCCAAGTCAAACACAGTTTAGCCAAATCAAGCCAATTTGAACACAAATTTACAGTATTTGAACCAAATCGAACCAAAAGAAATGTTGATTGAATGTCCAAACCAGATGTAAGGGATTTGAACTAAATCAACCCAAGAGAAGGCTTTGATCTAACCTGTCGAACTCAGATTTGAAGCATTCAATACAATTCAACCCCAAATTTGGGGGATTTTGAACACAATAAGAGGCATTCAGCAACTACTGAATCAGTTTTGAGAGGATTTGAGCCGGAAAAGACTTCAATCAAATCTCTGAACATAGATCTGAATAATCGAATATCCACTTCGAACCATATCTGAGCTGAAGGAATCAAGTAAGATTTGAGGAACTTGAACACAAATTTGAATAAATCTAAGAGTTTCAAACCAGATCGACAAAATTCAAAGTCAAATTGACCTCCACCAAGCCTTTTTGAACACAGATCTGAAGAATCCCAAGAGTTTCAAATCATATCCAACAGATTTGAAGTTTCTCAAACAGATCTGAGCTATGAAGCACGGACACCTCTCTAAGGGCTTCGTACCAGTGTCGGACACGGACACGCGTCGGACACGCGGTGGACATGTGTCCGACACGCAGCAGAGAGTGTCCCATTTTTTTTTAAATTTTTTTACATCCGGACACGTTCCAGACATGTTATAGACACTTTCGGACATGCTCGGGAGTAATTTCACAATTTACAAATTTTTTTTGGGGTCGATTCGTAAATAAGTAAAAACAGATCAATGTCTACCCTAATCTACTTCGATTAGAACAGAAACAGCAAAGAAAGGGTGAGAAAGAGAGGACTTGGTCGATTCGTCGTTCGTTGTTCGTCTTTGCTTCTCGTTGGTCGTCGCTCCTCGTCGGTCGTCTCTCGTCACTTGTGTCTTGTCGTCGCTCGTTAAGGTACAGGCTGCTCCTCTTCTTCGCTCTTCATTCTTCTTCTTCTTTCCCTCAGTCGCTGTCTCTCTCTCTCTCTCACACACACACACATAGCTCTGTCTGATCTTCTTTCCTCAGTCGTTGTCTCTCTCTCTCTCTCAGCCTTTGTTTGATTTTATTTTATCATTTCTTTTATTCTGATTTTATTTTTTCTTTTATTCTGATTTTATTTTTTCTTTTATTTTATTTTATTTTATTTTTTCTTTTATTCTGATTTTATTTTATTTTTTTCTTTTCTTATATTTTTTCTTTTCTTTTATTTTTTCTTTTATATTCTGATTTTATTTTTATTTTTCTATTATTTGAGTATATAATTTTAATAATGTATGTTTATTATTTTTTATAAGTTTAATAGTGTTATTTTGTATATTTTATTACCTTTTAATGATTTTTTAAAATAATTTTATGACATATAATAAATAAAATTAATTATATATATTGAACGTGTCCCCAACGTGTCGTGTCGTGTCCCCCATTTTTTGAAAATTTGCGTGTCCGCGTGTCCCGTGTCGTGTCGCGTGTCTGTGCTTCATAGGATCTGAGGATTTGAACTAGATTTGAACCAAAGAAGGTTGGATCGCTAATCGAAATCTCATTGAGAAGTGGAATCAATAGTCGAATCTAGGTCCAAATCGAGTTGCAAAGTCAAAACCACTACAGGTTGCTTCAACGAATCTAGGGTCAAACAGCACTGAATCTTCCAGTTAAGGCTTCGATTTAGGTTCGAAATGAGACTTTGTGCAACCTTCCATCAATTAGGGTTCAAAAATGATTTCAATCAATCTATAGAAGGCACTAACTTCGAATTACATCAGCTATGGCTTTCACAAAATCGTGATTCGATCATGAGAGAATGTAGATTAGGAAGAAATTAGGATCAAGCTAAGCTCTAATACCAAATAATGCAAATCAAGGATCAAATTGAGAGAGAGAAGACAAATGCCCCAATTAGGGGTAAAACTCCTAAGGGCTAGAGAAAGAAACCAAGCTATACTCTAATCACAATGTATATTCTTTAATCAAAAACTAAGTACAATGGGGTATTACATCACCTATTTATGGACTACAACTAATAGGCTATTTAACAGACACTTAACTTAATAATTCTACTACATCAACAGGGGAGTAATAATTAGTTTTCAACGGGTTTTTGGTACATCGAAGGGTGTAGCCTGGAGGGGGGAGTCTTGCTGGCAAGACTTAAACCCATGACCTTCTAGTAAGGTGCAAGGGTTTTGACCAACTTGGCTAGCCATGGTTTGTGTTTGCTTTTCTAAGGGCTTTATTCATCATAGTTTTGGTTTTGTTGGTACCATGTTTTTATTTATTTTATGTTTCTTGCGAGCATCATGTCGGTTTTGGCTAATTACTTTGAAGTTCCCCCCCCCTCCAATGGAATCATTTTCAGGTAGAAGCTGCTGGAGTTGGCAAGGTTCGGCATAACAGACTGGTGAACTTAATTGGGTGTTGTGCTGAGGGAGATGAGCGGCTATTGGTGGCAGAATACATGCCCCATGATACACTCTCTAAGCATCTCTTTCATTGTATGATTTCTCCACTCTTTCAATTGTTATTTCTTTCTAATGTGACTTAGGAAGGGGTGTCCTGTCCTAGTTGAAGTTCTACTTTTAAGTTATATGTATGTGTGTAGACTTGTGGGGCATGATTGTTTAAATTGTTCATTATGTTTTTTTTTAACAATATTTCACTTATTTTTAGTGCAATTTAGGCTCATTTTTTAATCTACTTTATAAGCATTATTTATTCATATACAAATAATAATAATAATTATTATTATTATTTTTCATAGGAGCTTATGATGCTCTATCTAATCTTGTACAACCCTCCTACAATCCAATATAGGATCTAGATTTTGACAACCTTGGTCTCTACACCCATTTTTATGTCAAGATTATGTATGAACTTATACTTGCAAGTTGCAACTATGTCATTTTTGGCCAGCAAGATGAAAAGTTTTGAAGTATAGAAATGTGACATGAAGAAATACATAATTTGGGGAAGTTCCTAATCATTTGAATTGTTAGAAGTCAGTTAAACATGGTAAACATTAGTGGTAGAGAGTGTATTAGTAAATTTTGAAATTAATATATATATATATATATATATTTTGTGGTTCTAGGTTGCCCTATTTGTTATAAACATATTTTAGGTTTTCCCCACACACAAAAAAAGTTCTTGCTGCATGCACTGCATTGTTTCTGTTTTTCTTCCTCATGTTGTTACTTCCCCCCACTGGATGAATGTTTTTGTCTGGTTGTTCCTTGATCCAATTTTTTAATATCTAGAGGAAGTTTGAAATAATTTGTTGTTCATTTTACTAATGGCACATTGCTATATGAAATTCAGTTCCTGTTATACTTCTACATCTTTTTTGGAAATCATTTTACTATTTTATGAGGGGAATTTTAGATATTAAAAAGCAATAAAAGTACTCAAATGTTACACACATGTATATGCTTATAGACATTTACATAGTTGATTCTTTACTAAAGAAGTGTATTTTTGTTTCAATATTATTTGCTGAACCATTTGGTTTCATTTGCATATTTGAAATAGAGAAACTGATGACTCTGGCTGTAGGTTGAAATTCTGTTTGCTTAATGGATTTAGATTGTTCTAGGGCTTGTTGCTTGATGTGTGTGTGTATTTTTATTTTATTTGGTTTTATTCTTTCAATAATGTGTTCCTTAAGTTTTAATTGTTTACTGTAGGGGATAAACAACCTCTACCGTGGGAAATGCGTGTGAGAGTTGCGTACCATATTGCACAAGCTCTTGATCATTGCAATGCTGAAAACAGGAAAATTTATCACGATTTAAATGCTTACCGAGTTCTTTTTGATGAGGTACACATTTGAACATGATTATAAAAAATGATAACAATTTGTGAAAAAGTATTAGTCTTATGTGCACTATACTGTTGCTTTGCCTTAAACATTTTGAGATATCAATGCATGAGCTCTTGGGATTTGATGAATACTTAAAAGAGTTCGGCAATTTGGAATCAACACTTTGGAGTCGGAGGTCATCTTATTTCAAAATCTGTATTATGATAGGCTTCAATTCTGTCCAAGGCATGAATTCAATGTTGCCAAACAGTAGTATTTTCCAATTTGCTATGTTTGTAGCTCATTTAAACATCCATGTGCTATATTTACATCTTTTGTAATATTCTTGCTGTCAAATTCTTGCATTTGAAATAACTTATTGATGAAAATGCTATGATTGGGATATTGAGAGAATGTAATACTTAAAAAGTACTTTATATTGTCAGAGGCTTGTTCAACATTGCCTCTCTAAGCTGCCCATGTTTGGTTCATATAATCTAAGGGCCCCTCCACTCATTGCCAATTAGTTTTCATAATTGGGTCTTGGGTGGCTACTCGGGTCAAAATTGACCTCGGGTTGATTTATCTCATCTCGTTCATCTCTTTATCACCTCCAAATGCAATTGGGCCACATATTGGGGTTTTAAAGACTTGTTCTGTATTGCCTCTCTAACTACCCAAGCTTGGTTATAGCCCTTCTGTCCATGGCCAATTGATTTGGGTTAGATGCCTCCATGCTTCTAACATATTTATATATTGAAGTAATTGAATAAATAAATAAAAGATAAAAGTCAGCATGTTGCCTTATAAACTGAAGTTCTAAAATGAATTAAACATGAATATGCATTTGTTTAACAAATGTGGACATAGTTAGAACAATGGTGGAAAGTAAAAAATTTTCTTAAAGAAGCTAGAGCGAACAACATTCAAAAAGCAAAGTTTGATTATTTGTAGCCTGAACCTAGTGTTGTGCATAAAGACATTCAAAAAGATCTGCTGGGGGAGTAACGTGTGGAGGAGTAAAAACGAGAGGTTGACAAGACAACCATTGAGAATAGCGCAAGTGATTCTGCAGATGAGATGAAAAGAGATTGGGACTTTTAGTTCATTATGATATTTATGTGATTTGGGAAAGTTTGGGCAACATTAGTTGCATTTAAAGATTTCTGTTGGGTGATGTAATTTTCATTGTGAGGAAAGTTCGAGCAACTTTAGTTATATGACAAATTAATGGTTGTCTCTGCAATTCTAATGGGAATAGACATCCCAGGTAGTTCTGACTTATAGTGCTTTTATGGTTGGGAATATCTTTTCATTGTGAGACATCACTGGCAGTTGTCCAGTGCAATATATAATTTTTTTGAAGGCATTGAGAAAGTTTATTAAAAGTACAAAGATGCACAGCAGGAGAGAGGATTCCTTTAAAACAAAGTGAGCGGTGAATAGAGACAAAGAAAGTACTGGGGAATGTTACCCAACAAAACCACTGTTGGCTGTCCCTTAAATGATGCTTTTGGACGCTTTTATAGCCATCTTCCCCGTTCTCCCTTCTCCCTTCCCTGTTTGCTTTGCATACTGTGTAGTTTCATGTTGAAAGTCAATTGTATGCATTGTTGCTATTTTGTAATACATGTATAATATTTCATATGAGAATATGTCTGCGTATTGATTCATTAACATGTTTGGACAGGCACATGTTTTAAGTGCGGGCTTATATTTATGCAATTTTGTTTCTAAAGATTTTTGCCTCTTCTTGGAGCTCTGAAGTGATGCATTTTACTTATTTAACAGAAAAAAGGAACTTCTGAAAAATATTGGAAAAAGACGTCAGGTTGTTGTGTATCATTTATTTATATTTTATTCATTTATTTAAATTGGCAAAGAGATAGTAGAGGGAATCTATTTCCAAGGTACAATGAATACATAAGGTCTTTAACAGTCAGGGTAAATTACAAACACTCCCCATGAGGTTTACTTAAATTACAAATTATCCCGTGTTTTAAAAATTACATTATGCCCCCCAAGGTTTCTAATTTCATAACAAATAAGTCTTTTTATTAATAAATCATCAAGTTAATTAACAGTTTTTAATATTAAAATTTTATTTCAATTAATAATTCAGATAATTTTATTATTGTATAGGTGAACAGTTAGAAATTTCACTTTTTCAATTAATTCTGTTAAATAAAAAATTCTGACAGGGAGGTATTTGTGATTTTTCAAACCACAGGAGTTATTCGTATTTTAAGCAAACTTCAGGGGGTGTATTTGTAATTTACCCTTTTTGTTTTTCATTGCCGATAATTTTTTCATCTGGACTACATATGTGAACCATTTTTTCCCTCACAGTTCAACCACATTCTCCGAATGTAAGGAAATGCATTCCTTCATTCCCTCATGTTTGTTTACTTATTCCATCCAGCAGTAAATATGAAATATGTTGAGTTAATGTTTTCTGGCATTTACGGTGAACTTAATTTGTTGCTATTTTAGGATGGTGATCCCCGATTATCTAGTTTTGGTCTTATGAAGAATAGCCGAGATGGGAAAAGTTATAGCACCAATCTGGCTTATACTCCACCAGAGTTTTTGCGTACTGGTATATCCATACAATATCACTTGCTATTTGGGATTATTGAATTATACTTATTTTCTGTTTATTTGTTGAAGAATCAATTTTTAGGGGATTTGCTTCTCATAATTAACTTTTCTCGATGTAGTTTGAGCATGCTGCTTTTATGTTGTTTTAATTTTGGTGGTGATAGGGGGTGGGTGGGGGTTATAACCATTTGTTTTGTGTGTAATCTCTAGAAGATGATGACAAAAAGTAAATTTAGAGGACATTAATTTGACGTAAGGTGTCAAATTCTCTTTTATCCAAGCTCTTCTTTACATGTTACAATGGTGGGATCTTGTGGACTATGCTTAAGCATTCATGATGTCGTGTGTTATGGACCTTATGATGATAATTTGTAACATGTTAGGAGTGTAAGGATTGATTTTCCTTTATGTTACATGGACTCTTCTAAATTTGTAAAGTATCCACGTTTTGTGTAAGAGCCAGTATTTCTTCGAATCAATAGGTCAGATGGGAATGAAGTGAGTGGGACCAAGTTTTATGAATCAATTTTTGTGATGAGTCATAACCGAACACTACATAACTAAAAAAAATAATGAGTCATAACCAAACACTACATACAGGTATAACCAAAGACTTTTTCGATTATAACCAAAATAATAATAACAATAGGTTATAACCAGCATTACAATGAGTCATAACTAACACCACAATGAGTCATAACAAAGTCATAACTAACACCACAACAGGTCATAACTAAAAACCACAATTGTCATAACTGGGGGCATATGGTACATACCTTTGTTATCAAAATCTTATGATTCACGATTCCGTTCACAATTTTTTTGCAAAATTGATACAGATCTTTGGGAATCCCTTTGTCATTATTCAAAATATGATCAAAAAACAATAGCTGGAGCTTTTAGAAACTGAAATCATTGCTAAAAACATGACTTTTATGAAAGAACAATTTTCGTGTGTTGTATTTCCTTGGTAGTGCCAACTTGAAATCAAGGATGATGCATCCATGACATAAACTTATAGTGATGATAATAACCAATACAACTACCTTACTAGAGAATCTTAGGACCAGAACATGACAATTCTTCCACTTCTTTGGAGGATTACTGGGATGCTTTGACTGAACTAATGATGGAAAAGATGGAAAAAAGAAAAGATAAAGCCATCTAGTCTTTTCGGCATATGACAACAACATATGGAGACAACATGTAGAATCTTTCACTCAGGCCTCCAGCTAAAATCCAGGTCCTACTGGAAAAACAGTATTATACAAATATTCTCAATAATTAATACTGAAAAAGTTTTAAAAGGTGCATACCTAAGCGTGAGGTGCAATGAGGTGCAACCTTGTGCTTCGAACAGGTCAAGGCAAGGCGCACTATGCAAGGTGCAACTTAGGCGCTAAGGCGATGGCTTTTTTTTGAGGTGCGAGGCGTAGGCTTCATGGGATATATCTATTTTTCTACTCCAACTGTTGATTAAGTGCTTTTTTGTGGGCATAACTACAAGGATTCAAAACTCTTCAATATAAATGACTGAATGTGGTCAAAAGAGAGCATAAAGTGATAAAAGATTGAATGATATGCTTTATATCTTCTGTTGGATATTATATTTCTAATTTTTAGAAGATTGAATGTTATGTTTAAAGATTATTGAAAATGGTTATGATTTTTGAAATTCTATATATATTTATTATATTGAAAAGTTTGGTTATTTTATAATTTTGTTTTTCTTCTACTACTTGCACTTCGATTTGGTGAGGCCCGCGCCTCGCTTCGCACCTCGCGCTTAGGCTATAGGATATCTTATCGCCTCGGTGCACCTAGAGCCTTTTAAAACACTAGGCGTAATAATTTAGCACCGACTCATCAAGACAATAGAGATAAGGATTCCAGACAGCGTAATTGACTGCATCCACTTAGCACACGCTGGTGTCTTTAAGCTTATCTTCCTTATCAAAGACCGTAGTAGGGAATACACTTAAAAATTGAGGTGTCATTCATTAACCCATTTCAGATGGTATAACGATGTATTTATGTGTTTTAAGTGTTCATATATGCTTGATCTACTCATACTATAATAATAGTATGATTAATATTAAACATGGCTCTGATTCCAAATAGATGTGCTATAATTTACATGTCTATCAATGATTTACAGGATATGAGGCTCTACACATGCAATAATGCGACATTAGCTATAATCCTTACGCAACTTGGGTGATGGGTGACGTCCCATAGACTATATGAGCATGTAATAAGCTCAAATCAGGAGTAATACTAATCATACTGATTGCCATAGAAAGTGCAGATCAACACATATGAACTCATGAAATGTAGATACTGTTTAAATTAATTAAGCCCTAGATATATTATCTAGTTGATTGATATTGATAACTAGCAAACTAATGAGTTATCTGTTTAATTTTGTATCTGTCGTGAACTGTATCTGTAACCTCTCCATTTTTTATTGAATTTTTTTTATAATTTTTTATTTTTTAACTCTTGGACATAATCTAATAACTGATTGTGATCGAAATGAATGCTAGATATATTATAATGACAATAAACTTTCATAAGACATTAAAATACTTACAAAGGGTTATAGAGTTGGAAGCACAACATACAAAGAGAAGAAATTTTAGATATTACATGAGATGACTAGGGAAAAAAGTGTGTTTCAACAAGGGTGAAACACTATCCCTTTTATAGACATGTTTCTAGATGCTAGAAGGATAAGGAAGAAAGGTTTAAAGACAGTTGGCATGTGCTAGGTGGATGCTATCGATTGCGCTATCTGGAATCGTTATCTTCATTGTCTTGATGTGTTGGTGCTAAATTATTACGCCAACTTTTCAGTATTCTTTATTGAGAATATTTGTACAATACTACTTTTCAAGTGAACCTTGGTTTTGGTTGGAGGCCACAGTGAACGATTCTTCATGTTGCCTCCATGTGCTGTTGTCAAATGCCGAAAAGACTAGATGGCTTTATCTTTTCCTTTTTTCATCTTTTCCATCATTAGGTCATTCATGGCATTCTAGTAGTCCTCCAAAGGAGTGGAAGAATTGTCATGTTCTAGGTCCAGAGATTCTCCAACAAGACAGCTCTATTGGTTATTATAATCATTATGAGCTGATGTCATGTATGCATCATCCTTGATTTCAGGTTGGCATTACACATGAACTGTTCTTTCATAAACTCTCAGCTTCTAGCAATGATTTTAGTTTCTAAAAGTTCCAGATATTGTTTTCTAATCATATTTTGAATAATGACAAAGGGTTCCCTTCCATTGGATTCAGTGGTGTGATCTTGGGATTGAGATCAATATATTGTTTATTATGTTGTTGAATGACCTCCCTAATCTCGAAAAAATATTTCCTCATATTTCCCTGATCTCATTGACAATAAAGTGTGAAATATCTTTTCGAATGCAATATTATCTTTTCCTCTAAATTGAGGATGTATAGTAGACTGCCCGGATCCCACGATTGAATTGAAAGTTGGATCTACATTGGATCTCACCTGAATCACCCCATCTATCCTCCTGGTAAATTCATCTTGGATTTCAGTTGGAAGAATTTGAATGGTAGGACCATGGTGTTCCCACCAAATTAAGAGCCAATTTGGTAATCCAGTTTGCAGAAGAGATTTGTCAAGTTTAATAAACCGAAAGTGTTTTTGGATAGGGTTTTGGTAAAGGAAAACCTTATCAGAAGCCTCAATATAATCCCAATAATTTTAGGGTTGTTCTGTGAGTTTCAAAGTTACGGATTTATTCGGATTAATTCCCCATTTAGTGGTTGTTAGATATAACTGAATTTCAAAGCACTCTTTGGTGCATTAGAAATTGGTGTACAGATAATTTCCATAGATGCAGTTTCCTAAAGGATTCCTTCATAAATATCGATAATGATCAAAGTGGGGAAGAAATTGTTGAGTGGACAAATATATTTCCTTAACTTCCTATGGATCAGACATCCGTTCGATGTTAGTCTTCAACAATTAAGACCATGTCGTCAATAAAAGTATTCTAAAAATATTTTTCATTTGCTTGTTAAAATTTACTTCCTTAAAGGCTGAGGAGATGCGGTTTTGCTGGTTGGAGAGGAATCCAAAGATGGAAAGACATCTTCTGTTAAGTCAATATGGGTTCTGGGCTTAGAGGGATTCCTGCCTCTTCCTCTTAGGAAGGTCATGCCATTATGATGATGATCCCTACAAAAATTCACGAGTGAGAAAATCGCAAATTAAATGTTTTATGTTAGTTTATAAATATCATTTTATCTAAAAAGATTAAAAAAAAGTTTTGAAGATATAAAGTCTAGCTTTTGTCCCAAGTCCAGCTAACATAGATTTTTCTCACGTCACCTACATGGCAAACCAAACCAAACCAAACCAAGCCAAGCCTTAAGTCACATCAAATGGGGTTGGCTACATGAATCCTTCTTCTCTACGCGGCCCTATCAAAGGCCATTTCATTAGTCAAATTAAGTAGATTCATATCTCTATTTAAAATGCTAGTCAACGTTAATCTAGGCCTACCCCGTCCCCTAACACTTCTATCTACCGTTACAGTATCGCATCTCTTCACTACTGCCTCTGTTGGTCTCCGTTGAATATGACCAAACCATCTCAAACGACTCTCTCTCAACTTATCTTCTATCGGTGCTACTCTTACCCATTCCTGAATACACTCATTCCTAATCCTGTCTTGTCTAGTCTTACCACACATCCACCTTAGCATCCTCATCTTAGCCACACTCATCTTATCTATATGTTGTTTCTTGGTTGCCCAACACTCCGTCCCATACAACATAGCTGGTCTAATAGCCGTTCTATAAAACTTACCTTTTAGTCTAGTGGGTATTCGTTTATTGCACAATACCCCAGACGCACTTCTCCACTTACACCATCCCGCCTTAATCCTATAGGCCACATCTGCATCAATATCTCCCGCTGTTGTGATAATCGACCCTAGATAACGAAAATGTTTATTCTTAGGCAATTCTTGGTTCTCAATCTTCATTTCTCCTCTGCTTTCATTGTTACTGTTACTAAATTTACATTCCATGTATTTGTCTTAGTTCTGTTTATCCGAAATCCTTTAGATTCAAGAGCTTTTCTCCAAATCTCTAACTTTGTGTTAACTCCTTCTCTAGTCTCATCCACTAGCACAATATCATCTGCAAAAAGCATGCATCATGATACGTCATCCTGAATATTTATCGTCAACTCGTCCATAACTAAAGCAAAAAGATAAGGACTTAAGGTAGATCCTTGGTGTAACCCTACAGTGATAGGAAATTCATTTGTCTCTCCAGCTGGCGATCTAATGGTGGTCACCACCCCTTCATACATGTCCTTAATCACGTCAATGTAACCTTTTGTCACCCCTTTCTTCTCTAACACCTACATGGCAATGACCATGAAATTGAAAATTGTGAATATGTTATTCGTTTATGGATTAAATAAATGTAATTGCAGACTACTAACATATATTAGGAAATGAAAATTGTTAACCATCGTAGGAAATTTTTGCTGGAGTTTGATGTAGCCTTTGCTTGGATTATGTTTTTCTCTTTCCTTTGCTTTTTCTTGTTTGTAGAGGATGCCTCAGCCTCATCTCTTTTTTGATTTATCAATAAAATTCTGTGTTGTTGATCCAAATTATTTTTTATTTTTTTGCTGGAGTATATTGGTACATTTTGTCCTTTTTCTGTCTGGCACACCCTGAATTTCAGGGATTTTATCATGTGTTTTTGGGAAAAACATATAATAATTTCAGGGAAATAAAATACAATTTCAAAACAACAAAGTCTTTGTTTTAAATAAAAATTCCCAACACCTAAAAATTAATTAATTAATTTATGAAAAGTGATGTTTATACAATATGGAAAAATAGTGTACCATATGTAAGTAATGACATTTTATGACATAAAGGGTGTACCACATCCCCCAAACAGGGTGTACCGTATGCAAGTTATGACACTTTGTGGTGTTAATACCACAAAGTGTGTTATAACCAAATCACTTTCAGTCATAACTAAAAATACCACGATGGATCATAACCAAACAACAATTGATGAGTAACTAAAGATCTGTTTGGTCATAATCAAAATAACAACAACAATAGGTTATAATCAATCATCACAATGAGTCGTAATCAAATGATAACCAAGAGTCATAACCAAACACTACATAAGGCATAACCAAAGTCCTTTTCGATCATAACCAAGATAATAATCACAAGAGGTTATAAAAAAGTTATAACCAACACCATAGCGTGTCGTAATAAAAGACCACAAAGGTCAGAACTGGTACATACGTGATGCGTATGAGGAAGATGTTGGATGAGGAAGGAATTAAGTTAATTTGGGAACTTAGGATTTTTAGGAATTATTATGGTATTAGGTTATTATTAAGGATTTTATTAATATTTGGTTTCCTAGCTATTAGATATATTTTTCTATTTGATTAGTCTGTGTCTTATAAATATTGAGGGTTTGAGTTGTATTGGACAGCTTTGAATGGATTGAAATAATTGAGAGTTTAATTTTATTGCTTTGTGTATTTAAGTGTTGAGGGTTCTTTAAATCTCCGTGTGGTTTATTTCTCTTTCTTCAATATTTTTGTTCTTCATCAAAAAGAGAGAACAATAATCTTAGGGGTTTCTCTCTTAATCTCTTTTATTTATTACGAAACTACCCTTCTAGCTAAGACATGCCAACAGATACATTTCTGAAGGCCATTGACTTTGCAAATCTTATGAAAGTTATCTCTATTGGACAATTAAGCCAAAATTTAATACCACCAAACTCAGGCCAACTTGGTTCTTGAGCAATTGGCATGTGTGCCATGCATTCGTAGTGATGGACACATTTTTGAACCTTGCTTGATGTAAATATTCTGCAATAAACATTAAGTTAGTAAATATTGACTAATGATTTAGAAGTGGATTTAAAATTTGCTAAATTAGCCGCGTTTGAAGTATTTTATTCTGTCATTAATGCATCCTTATAACAGGATTGGATAGGCTTGTGAATGAGCCAGGTTAGGCAAAATATGAACACACCTAGCTTTAACATTTTAGTTAAGCTAGAGCCAAAGCTTAAGCTTCACTTGTATATGATCCACTTTCATTTAAACCAAGCTTGAACATCCTAATACTCAACTCAACCCAGTTTGTTTGCGGCTTTGGGAGTGTTCTTTATATCTGTAATCGATTGGCTGTGAGGCTTATAGGTCTTGGTGAAAAATGTTTGTTTTGTCATATTCTTTTGGGATTCTTCTGTTCAATGTCATCATAATTTGTAATTTTATTCCCAGTCATTTACACAATTGAGTTGATGCCATTTCTGATCTAAATACCTGAATTTTATTATGTTAGTTGAGATTGAAGAACTTGTATATCCACTCCATATGATTTGGGAGCTTACTTTATGCAGGTAGGGTCATTCCAGAGAGTGTGGTCTACAGTTATGGAACTGTTCTGCTGGATCTTTTGAGTGGGAAGCATATCCCTCCAAGCCATGTACTATAAATTCTGTTACATATGCCATCTCAGTTGTTCTCTACTCTTTCAATAGTCTTTTCAGTTTATTTCATCTTTTATTCATGTTTTGGTACTATCCTGGTGAAATTTATATGACAATATAATTAGCTTGTAAAATTGGGGAACGGGATTGGTGGCATTGAATCTTGTCGGTTTTTTGTTTTGTTTTGTTCTGTTTTTTTTTTTTTTGTTGTTTTGTTTTGTTTTCTCAAGGCACTGGATTTGATAAGGGGGAAAAATGCTTTGTTGCTGATGGATTCGTCCTTGGAAGGACAATATGTTGATGAAGATGCAACTGCATTGGTTGAACTTGCTTCAAAATGTCTTCAGTATGAGGCCAGAGATCGACCAGATATCAAGTTTCTTCTCACAGCAGTAGCACCCCTTCAAAAGCAGAAAGAGGTGAAACTTTGTTAATTAGTTCTGTACTGGTCTGGGAATGTAATTACTGAGTTGTTTAAAATGTTTGGGATGTTCTAAAAAAGCTAGTTTTTTGACTACATAAGCCAAAAGTCAAAAAGCCACTCAACTTTTTCACTCCAAAAAAAAAAAAAAAAAAATTTGCCAAAAAGCAACTAAGGCTTGGTTTGGCATGTTAAAAAAAAGTTAAAAAGTCAAAAAGTCACTATCCTATTTAAGTCACATCATTTTATTTAAATCACATCACCTCTCTAACACAACACTTCAAACCCAAACCCAAACCCAAACCCAAACCCAAACCCAACCGATATTTCATAAAAAGTTAAAAAGTGCACTTATTTAGATCATCTCAAACAACCCCTAAATTCCCAAACAAATAAGCTTTAGATTCAACAAAAAAAAGCCAAAAAGCCACTTACAAAGCTAACTCCTAATAACCTCAATGTTCTCATTAACATTGATATTTGTAGGTTGCATCACATGTTTTAATGGGTCTGACAAAAACTCCAGTGGTGCTGCCAACCATGCTTTCTCCTCTTGGAAAGGCTTGTGCAAGGATGGACCTGACTGCAGTTCATGATATCTTGCTTAAAACAGGTTATAAAGATGAAGAGGGTGCAGAAAATGAGGCAAGCATATTTATTCCTGTTGTGCTACTCCACAATTCGTTGATTTACTGTAAATAAAATGAAATTGCAGGTCTATGTGTTGTTCGCATGCCCATTTGTGACTTCTCTTCGCTGAAAAACTATCCTATGAAATAATAGAGACATGTTTTCTGTAGATTTACACTTTTTTGACGTCACATTTTCCCTTGTATGTCAGAAGATATATTCTCTGCCTCATGACTATTTTATTTTAGCTTGATTTGCCCTCATGTCATAACTTTATTATTGAAACTTAAATTTATTTTCATGCATTTGACTTCAATAAACCTTACATATATTTTATGGCAATGCTGTCGTATGCAGCTATCATTCCAAGAATGGACTCAGCAAGTTCAAGATATATTGAACACAAAGAAATTTGGGGATATTTCATTTAGGGACAAAGATTTCAGTAGTGCTATTGAGTATTATTCAAAGGTATGTACTTATTCTAGTTGTGGACTCATTTGCTATCATAACCTTTTAAATTTATGTTTGTTTTTCTTCTTGAATATTCTTGGAAGTATATCTATAAGTTGTGCTTAGATTCAATATTGTTTAATGTCAAATTTTAGTGTTCTTAGAAGAGTGACTTCAAAAATAAAAGATTGTTTTCTTTCTTTCTTTTCCTTTTTTGATAAGCAAAATAAAATTTGATTCAAGAAAAGGAGAAAACACAATACAGTGGGAGACAAGAGGTTCACCAAGAAAGAAAAGAAGGAAAAAGAAGAAAGAAAACCAAACTTAAAAGTAACACATTGCTTTCCAATCTCAACTAATCAAAAGTAAAGCATATCCATAAACCTCCTAATTCTTCAAACTTGACCTAAAAAATTGTTGCATTTATTTCCAACCAAATCACCCAAAACTCAACACATACAACTCTAGCGAGCTTGAGCCTTTCCATTATTACCAAAGCCTCTATAATCAATCAAAAGCATATGAATGAAAGTTGATGTTGCCACCCAATCAACCTCCACCAACTAAAATAGTTTGTTCCGTAAAGCTAACTATGGGACAATACAAAAGTAAATGATCAATGCTTTTCTCCTCCCTCTTACACATTACACGCCACCATGGAAGTAAATGACAATTAGGCCTCTTTTGAATCATGTCATTGGTACTGAGCTTCTTATGAGCCATAGTCCAAAGAAATATAGAGGTTGTACCCAAATATTGTGGTCTCTCTTCTTTCGTGTATTTCTATTCCTTTATTTCTCAAATGACATAAAGAGATTGTACCCAAATATTGATTTGGATTTTTCATTTTTATAAAATGCAGTTGGTATCGATGATGTCTGTCCCTTCTGGTACCATCTTTGTGAGGCGAGCCCTATCATACATGATGATTGGTCAGCCTGAACTTGCGCTAAGGGATGCTATGCAGGCTCAAGTGTGCTTGCCCGAGTGGCCCACTGCCTTCTACATGCAAGCTCTTGCCCTCTCTAAACTTGGAATGGAAACCGATGCCCAAGACATGCTCAACGATGGAGCCTCCTTTGAGGCAAAGAAACTCAACAGCTGGCGCAATTAGCTTAATGACTCAAATCCCAAATTCTCTGCTTCATTCGGTAAAATGAGAGATCAATACACTGCTAAAGGCAGGGAAAATAGTTTCCATACACACAAATGTATAAAGCTCTTGTAATAGCCAAATTGAGTAGATTAGTTAGTTACTGAGTAAATGCCATGTTGCGCCGGAGTAATTTTAGGCGTGGAAATTGGTTATGGAACTTGTTGATTAGGGTTTTTGGTACATAGATGGGTGCCTCCATTGATTGCTGCATCATAGAAGCATTAGGTGATGATGAGGTTTGGTATAATTCAAGCTGTGGTTATTTGTACTTGGCCCAAAATCCAGGTTGATGACAGAATTAAATTTGTTTTATGTATGCTAACATTAGAATCCGGGCTGGAATTGTATTTGTTCCAAGTGAGTTCAAAATTTTCAATTCTGTTCTTGCCATTTTTTTTTTCTTTTTTTCTTTTTCATATAGCAAAATATTCATTTTAAAGTTATTTCAGTTGCGCCCTTTAATTTTCTATTTGTAACATCAGTTTTAAGGACACGGTTTTTGCTCATGATGGACACAAAAAGTGAAGTGTGCCTCAGATTTATTGAGTGTATGCGTTGCACAAAAGAAAAAAAAAAAAAAAAATCAACCATGCTTGTTTCAGTTTTTTAAAAACATTTTTCAGAATACTTTCTTATTTTCGGATGTTTTTGTTTTTATTGAATCTTTTTAATATTTTAAGTAATTTTTTTTTTAATTTTTAGACACACTTACCATAAATATACTTAAAAAATATAATTTTCGTGAAAAAAAATCTTTAAAAAATTTGCTATGTACAAAAAATATGAAAATTCAGTATTTTTTGTTTTTTTGTGTATTTATGAATTTTTTAAAATATTTTTTCACAAATATTTTATTTTTTAAATACATCTAAGTAAAATGTATCTAAAAAATTAAAAAAAATACTTAAAATTTTGAAAATATTTACTAAAAATAAAAAAAAATCTAAAAAATAAAAAACTCAATTTTTAAAAAATTAAAACCAAACGTACTTACATTTTTATACCTATCAAAAGGTAAAGCAAACAGCTAGGCTAGGCAGATACCCTATGTGATTGCTTATTGATTTGGACACTTCTTTTGGTGCTAATTGACATTTTCGCTGAAGCTTAAAACACAAGAAAATATAAAAGGAATGTAGAACACAAGCTACTTTTACAAATTTTAAATACTTCTTTATTGATTTCAGGAAACTCTGCCGGAGTTGTTAACAATTTCGCTAATCTCAAGCCTGGGTTAAGGAGGAGAGTTGTGTGTTAGGTAACCGACAGCCAACACATAAAAAAGCTGCTCGGATCCCTTATGAAAATGAATCCTACTTTGAATCGTTTAAATGCTAGGTCGTTCCCCTCAAGTGACGCATTGCACCTGCCTCCGGGTGATTCGAAAGTAAGCAAGGGGCACCATATCGACGCCTAGGTTGGACACTTCTTTTGGTGCTAATTGACATTTTCGCTGAAACTTAAAACACAAGAAAATATAAAAGGAATGTAGAACGCAAGCTACTTTTACAAATTTTAAATACGTCTTTATTGATTTCAGGAAATTCTGCCGGAGTTGTTAACAATTCCGCTAATCTCAAGCCTGGGTTAAGGAGGAGAGTTGTGTGTTAGGTAGTCGACAGCCAACACATAAAAAAGCTTCTCGGATCCCTTATGAAAATGAATCCTACTTTGAATCGTTTAAATGCTAGGTCGTTCCCCTCAAGTGACTCGTTGCGCCTGCCTCCGGGTGTTTCGAAAAGTGAGCAAGGGGCGCCGCATCGGCGCCTGGGTGCGGTGAAAAATGGGCAAAGGTTTCTGCGCTTTTCTGAGCGAGTGCGGATAAAGAAGCTAGTTCAAGACTATAGGTTTAAGGTAGCCACTTCGAACATAGGAACCTTAACTGGTAAGACGATGGAATTGGTAAATGTTTTGATTAGGAGGAGAGTCAGTATAGCTTGCATACAAGAAATTAAGTGGACGGGAGAGAAAGTTAGGGAAATTGAGGATACCGGTTTTAAACTATATTACAGTGGTAAGGATAGACGCGGGAATTGGGTAGGAATCATAATTGCCAAGGGTCTTGTAGAAAGTGTAGTGGCGGTCACTAGGAAAGGAGATAGGATTATGCTAGTTAAACTAGTTATTGGAGGGAATATAGTGAACATTATTAGCGCATACGTCCCTCAAGTAGGGTTAGATGATCAGACTAAGAGGGATTTTTGGGAGCAAATGGATGAGATCTTACAGGAGATACTCGTAGGAGAGAACCTGGTTATAGGTGGAGATTTTAATGGCCATGTGGGCATAGATAAACTAAGTTATGAAAGGGTGCATGGTGGATACGGTTTTAGTGACAGAAATGAGGCTGGAGAGAGTATCTTAGATTTTGCGTTGGCTTCTGACTTGGTGGTGGCCAATACTATGTATAAGAAGAGTGAGGAGCATTTGATAATCTTTAAGAGTGGATTAGTTAAGAGTCAAATAAATTACTTCTTAGTGAGAAAAATGGACCGCCTAAAATGCAATGATTGTAAGGTGATTCCTGGAGAGAGTCTGGTCTCTCAACATAGGATTTTGGTACTAGATTTATGTTTTAGAGGGCAATACCAAGCTAAGAAGGATGGTGGGCGTCGTAGGACGAGATGGTGGGACCTAAAAGAGGATAAATTAGAAATATTTAAGAATCGAATGGATAAGGAAGGTACTTGGGACTTCGAAGGTGATGCTAACACTATATAGAACTCGATGGCCAATTGTATGAGGAGCATCTCAAGGGAAGTGCTTGGAGAGTCGAAGGAACGGGACCTAGCTCTAGGGAAACTTGGTGGTGGAGGGAAGAGGTTCAAGCGGTAGTTAAGGCAAAAAAAGAGTACTTTAAAAAGTGACAGAAGGATAGAACTGAGGAAAACCTTAAGAGCTATAGATTGGCTAATAAGGAGGTCAAGAAAGTAGTGAGAGAGACCAAGTTGAAAGTATATGATGACCTATACACTAGACTAGATAGTAAGGAGGGAGAGAAGAGGGTATACAAACTTGCTAAGATACGAGAGAGGAAAACAAGAGATTTTAATCAAGTAAAGTGCATCAAGAGTGAGGATTCTAAAGTATTGGTGAAGGATGATGAAATTAAGGAAAGATGGAAGAATTATTTTGAGAAACTATTAAATGAGGAACATGGAGGTACGACAATAAGGGAAGAAATAACCAGTAATACAATAAACCAAGACTATAGGTTCTATCGCAGGATTAGAAATTTTGAAGTGGAGATTGCACTTAAGAAGATGAAATCAAATAAGGCTTTAGGACCCGATGATATCCCTATTGAAGCTTGGAAGTGTTTGGGTAAAAAGGGAGTTGCTTGGTTGACTAGGTTGTTTAGCAAAATTTAGGGGGCTTCGACGAGAGAAATAAGGGACTGGGGAGTGTGAGCGATGAGCTATAGGGTGAGGAGAGGTTTCGATTCGAGAAGAGGGGGAATGGTGGGGCTGACTGATGCGTCGAATATTGATTGGTCATTGTTATGTGCCCACTCTAGCATTGACCATTGAGTACTTGACATGTTAGTGAGTTTCAAGCAGACTGTGTATATCATTGTTTAAACTAAATATGGTGTTTATCAATCTTGAGAAAGCATATGATAGAGTGCCTCGTGATATAATATGGTGGGTGTTAGAGAAGAAAGGGGTGACAAAAGGCTACATTGATGTGATTAGGGACATGTATGAAGGGGTGGTGACCACTATTAGATCGCCAACTGGAGAGACAAATGAATTTCCTATCATTGTAGGGTTACACCAAGAATTTACCTTAAGTCCTTATCTTTTTACTTTAGTTATGGACGAGTTGACGATAAATATTCAGGATGACGTGCCATAGTGCATGCTTTTTGCAGACGATATTGTGCTAGTGGATGAGACTAGAGAAGGAGTTAACACAAAATTAGAAATTTGGAGAAAAGCTCTTGAATCTAAAGGATTCCGAATAAGTAGAACTAAGACAGAATACATGGAGTGTAAATTTAGTAACAGTAACAATGAAAGCAGAGGAGAAGTGAAGATTGAGAATCAAGAATTGCCTAAGAGTGAATATTTTCGTTATTTAAGGTCGATTATCACAACAGTGGGAGAGATTGATGCAGATGTGGCCCATAGGAGTAAGGCGGGATGGTGTAAGTGGAGAAGTGCGTCTGGAGTATTGTGCGATAAACGAATACCCACTAGACTAAAAGGTAAGTTTTATAGAACGACTATTAGACCAGCTATGTTGTATGGGACGGAGTGTTGGGCAACCAAGAAACAACATGTAGATAAGATGAGTGTGGCTGAGATGAGGATGCTAAGGTGGATGTGTGGTACGACTAGACAAGACAGGATTAGAAATGAGTATATTCAGAAATGGGTAGGGATAGCACCGACAGAAGATAAGTTGAGAGAGAATCGTTTGAGATGGTTTGGTCATATTCAACGGAGACCAACAGAGGCAGTAGTGAAGAGATGCGATGTTGTAACGGTAGATGGAAGTGTTAGGGGACGGGGTAGGCCTAGATTAACGTTGACTAGCGTTTTAAATAGAGATATGAATCTACTTAATTTGACTAATGAAATGGCCTTTGATTGGGCCGCGTGGAGAAGAAGGATTCATGTAGCCGATCCCATTTGATGGGACTTAAGGCTTGGTTTGGTTTGATTTCAGGACTTGTTTTTAATCATGTTACTAGATCCTAAAATATTTCACTTTAATCTCAATAATATATAAAGGATCAGAGGCACTCATATTTGCGACAAATACTCAATTAGGAATAATGAGGAAATTGGAATGTCTCTTTTGAGGGTATAATTTTGATTCAATTGTTTTGTAGGCATGCTCGCCTAATTTGTTTGAACCAACACACACAATCAATTTTAGCTACTTGGAGTATCTCTAACGGGAAAGGCATTTAGAGCATTCTAGACATTTTGCCTAGCGTTGTCACAAAATGGTACTCTAACCAATTTTCAGTTGGCTAACTACATTTGAAGAGGTTTAGAGTCTAGGAAAACCAATTTTAAGACTAGGGAAAAATGTTGGAGTGTACTACACTGTGCAAAATGATTCATAAAACACAAAATAAATATTTTTTATATAGTTTTAGTAGATATAATGCCTAGTAGTATTGGATGTTTTCATTTGTTTTTTACTAATTAAACTCTTTGCAACATATTTGTAATGAGTTTAATTTGTAATCATTACACTCGTTTGTTATCTGCTAAATGCAAATTTTTGTTTATTAGGCCGAACTCCCAATCGCATAGCACAGAGACTCGAAATTTCTATTTTCACACTAACAATTCTCTCTTTTCATTCGAAAGTTAATTTTTGAATAAAATTACATGATTTGAAAATCAATTCAATGATATAGCGAAATTTAT